CCCTCAGAATTCTGACTTTTTTCCCCTCAGAATTCTGACTCTAATCTCAGAATTCTGACTTTTTTTCCCTCAGAATTCTGACTCTAATCTCAGAATTTTGGATCTTAATGTAGATGGGGACCATGAAGGAAGAGATGTGGAGCACTCAGCTTCACTGACAAAGATGTGAGTTGTTAGGGAGGGCCTGTAACACAATGGTGGAAAATGGTGGTATTAGGTGACTTTTTATGTGCCTGAGGGGTCCCCAATGATGCGATTTGATTAATGGAAGAGCAGAAGGTGATTACATCAACAGAGCTAGTTTAGTTTCTACAACAGACAGCTATGGCTTAACATGTTAGCTAACTGTCAGAGTTCTGAGATTAAAGTCAGAATTCTCAGACAAGATTCAATTTCAACATAAAATAGGCACTTTTGTAAATAAATCAAACTAAACGTTGCTAATAGATAGCAAATGGTGGTTTTGGCAGTCAGAGATGTCTCGATCCAATATTGATATCGGAAATCGGTCCAATATTGGCCGAAAAATGAATATTGAAATATGCTGGCCTTCCTTTGAAGTCTTCCGTTTTAGAAACACTTTGCTTTTATCCACTTTTGATCAAAGTTTATGTAGCTCTTTCGTGAATAAGAAATGGGTGAATTGTTCACATACCTGATGTTGAGTATTGTCTTCTGTTTGAGAAATATCACTTGATCAAGCCCTCTTCTATCATTCCACACTATAAATTAGGTGAAAGTATGCATTATTCATGCTCCAATTGTAACAGGTCAGTATCGATCCGTACTCAAAACTGCAGTATCTGTATTGTATCCGAAATTAATTATCTTTGATTTGAAACACCGGTTGTTCCATTTTATTTATTTGTCCAGGTGACTTTGTTTTTATTCTTTTTTTTAATTGGCAATTTTACAGTTTGTTTATTTTAACATGTTTGGTCTAGTAGTTGGACCCCTGGTCCTTGAGCTAGGCCCAGTTTAAAAGTCGGCCAGGAATTTAAATTCCTTCTTTTTAGAGCTTATTGTATAGGTAATACTTATCACAAACTGATAGGAAATTATGCATTTTAACTGATCTGAATAAGCCTAATGAAACCCTAACTAGGTGAACATTCCGTACTTTCTAAACTCCCAAATTTGACAAAAATTGTGTTTTTATGAAACATTTCCCCTTTGACCTGGATTTAAACCCTTAGTGATGGAGAAATGGTTAACTTTGAGTGTTCACTCAGTAGCATCTACCACACTGAAGTGTGTGTTTTATTGCTGCCTCGTCGCTTTTACTTCTGGTTTGTTTGCTGATCAGAAAACGGATCAGATTTTTAGTTTCTGACAGACTGATCACCAATCAGAGCTGTTCAAAAATAAAATTGAGCAGATTTATTCACCAGGAACAAATTAAGGGATGCATTTCTTCTGCTGGACTGTTTATGTTGCAGGCGACACCTTAACTCCACTGGGTAAACATTGTTTTCCATTTAGGAAATACTTGTAGCTAATTCATAACAATATAAGGGGCTATAATCCACACAAAAGCTGGGCTCCCTGCTGAATGAGGCCAGGCCTGTGTTTATTTCCAGGCTTCCTCGGCGGAGGCTCCTGTGGCTGTGAAGTGCAGGCAGCCAGCGGTGATTTAGTAAACATTCCTTGTGAACAAGGCCGGCAGATTTCTCCCCTCTGACTCTGCTAGTCCTCATTTTGTGGTTGAAGCTGGTTCTGTTTGAACTATACATCTCCCTGTGGGCTAAATGAGAGCACACGACAGGATGAAGGGCACCAGTGAAGGGGGCTGATGTGTTAGGAATTAGGGGGGCAGGAGGGCAAATCAATGAGGCCAATCATGGGATACAGCCAAGTAATGGAAACCCAGGTAGGGGGGCTTTTACAGTGAAGGCTTTGAGGGGGAAGAAGAGGTTTGGGGGGTGAAATTCCTCTCTGCCCTACATACTTAACTCCTCCTCCCCCACATTTCTCCATCACCTTTAATCTTTACAGTAGTTAAATGAAAATGTTGTATTGAGTTCAGGCAGCTAAGTGGGCAGCTCCAGCCTGATGCCCCGGTGCGGTTCTCTGCTGGTGTTCTTGCTCTTCTTTCCTGCTTCTGCTGTCCCCCAAACATGGCTGTCAAGGCGATGACGTTGGCCTCGTCATTTGGAAAAGCGATCGATGAGAGAAAGGAGGGGAAATGACAGACACAATTTATTACTTTATTTAAATGATTTTAGGCCCCGTCCACAAGAAGTCAAAACGAACACGAAACGCTAATATTTTCCAGAACGTTTGTCGTAAAGACGGAGACGTAAAATAAATGTGATGGTCCACACGAATGCATGAAAACGCTGCAAAATGTATGCCAGGCCTGTAAGTGGCGCTGTGGTGCCAAAGCAAAAATAGGCGACGAAATGTTGGGCATGCGCACTAATATTTATACATGGTTGCCCTGCGGGTCCATTTTCGTGGTTCAGTCAAATTCAGGTGCTGAACTATGTCGTCGATATTGTTCTGTTCTTCCTGGAGATATTCCAGAAGAAGAAGATTCTGTTGTAAGCCCGACAGCAGGGTGAGTAGCATGAGCAGCAACCATTCAACACAGTACGGCGCCATTGTTGTTGTGATACTGTGTCGCGCATGCGTGTTTAGAGGCGACGCTATGACGCATGCGTGTAAGAAAAAAAATGCGGTTAGAGCTTAAAGATGGAAACGAGAAAACAGCGTTTCGAAATCTTCCCACTCTGAAGGCTGAATAAAAAAAAGATCGTTTACAGACCCCCGAAACGCCGGCTTCGTGTGGATGAGAGGCTGGTTTGGTGAAAAATTTGTGCGTTTAGGCCAGGGTTTGACTTCGTGTGGACGGGGCCTTAGATGCTCTAACCCCTGTGATGTGATCTGGTCTTGTTCTGAGGTTTTGCAGGCGTTTTCTAAACTTGGCAATGTTCTCAATTTTACAACTTTTAATGCTTCCCTAAAATTCCCAGCATGTAAAGATCAATCCAAACAGTTTTGAAATGCTCTAATCTTTGGACAGTATTTCCACTTTTGTTTTTTCGTAATTTGAGGTCTATTTCTTTTTTCACTCTGCATTTTTTTTGTCTATTATGAACAAAAAAGCCCTTGTTTATTTTTATTATGTATTTGCTTTGTTTCCTGTTTGGTTGCTGGGATCTCGTTAAAGGTCTAATACGGGCACCGAAAGACATAAAGTGGCAGTATTATTTCTGACAAGCTTTGAGCTGGTTAAAATAAAAACATTTTAAAGTCGTAGGGAAATCATATTTAAATGTCAAATCATTCTGGCTTAAACATGTATATAAATTAGATTTTCTTCAAATTGCCCAGCTCTACTTTATATATCACAATTAAGGCAAAATATAAATAAAAACTACAGAGGACAAGACCCTGGTGTCTCCAGTGGTAGTTACGGCCCTGTTAGGGCTATAAAAGTTTGAATATTACCAGGCGTTGATGTCGAGCCTTGGTCAGTCTCCTGGAAAAGCTGTTCCTCCCTGAAATAAATGATCCATAGGGGAAAAAATGTTTTAAATGAGAGTGATAACAGTCTGGAAATGTCTGGATGAATACATTTATGAAGCTATGATTTAACGCGAGTTGTCTGAATGCTCATCCTGAGTTCGTTTTCCCTTTCATTCAACTTAATAGACTATCGTGACAACAACCCATTTGAAAGGATGGTCTCATCCTTTTTGGTTTTATTACGAGTAGTTTCTTTTTTTTCTAAACCTCATTTTGGAACAATCATAAATCCAGTGTTTGGAACATGAGTCTCTGTGGAGACAGAAATTCAGAGATCTCATTTTAA